ATATTTGTCTATGTGTGTGTACTGCGTACCATTCGCCCAGGTCGGTTGGGTAGCCTTCTACCTGTGTTTGCAAATGGATAACCACTTTTCTTCATTTTGGGGGGGATAATTTTTCAAACACCCCTGGAAGTTTGGGATATATCGTCATATAACTCAAAAACATATGGGTATGCCAAAATACCCTCCTCGCGGACGTGAAACTGTGTGAAATACCCCACTCGCCTATTGGAACCCGCAGTTTTCACATATTATGCCCCCACCGGGCCCTGTACGACTTCTCCATATGCCCCCGTACTTCCGACTGTTGGACCGATGTTTGAAAATGCTAATAGCTAAAGAAGCGCGCAAACCCTGAACTCCATGATCATACCCATATCAGAAAGTTGCTCATCGCCGGGACAGAGGCATAGCAGAATTTAGGGACGTTGGGCCATGATACTCCTGTGTTTAAGGAGGGTCTAACAAAATACGCCAACCTTTAGGAGCATTCCAATGTTTTTTTTCTTTTCTTCTTTAAGTGCATACATGATTCATGTATGATGAATTTTTTTATTTTTTTTTTCAAACAACCCATGGTCCAGCGAAGTTGATAAGCCCGCAAGTGGCATTCGTGAGGTTCTGGGTTCAATCCCCATTCGCCCCATGTACCTTCCTGCTATGAATCCCAAGCGGCCATGGTCACCGCGGGCACGACCACGGACCGCGGCCGCGGTCTCGAGGCTGCGGTCATGACCGCGGTGACTGCGGAATGCCGCGTCCCGCAGCGGCCGAGGGGAGAGGGGAGAGGGGGTTGGGGGTCGGGGTTTCGGATTGGGGTTTCGGAACCCTCGCCCTACCCCTTTGAAAACAAAAAGGTTAAAAAAAAAATTCGGGGGGGTCGTTTTTTGTGTGTGGACAAAAAATAACAAAAAAATAGAAAAAATAGATAAATATTGATTGATTGATTGGTTGATTGATTGATTGATTGATTGGTTGGTTGATTGATTGATTGATTGATTGATTGATTGATTGGTTGATTGGTTGATTGGTTGATTGGTTGATTGATTGATTGATTGGCGGGGGAGCTTTTTTTGATTGATTGATTGATTGATCGATTGGCGGGGGGGG